CAGCATGATGTAGCATGATGCCGTCCGTCTATCTATCTGTCTACCTATCTATTTTTATCCACCTATCTATCTACTTTTCTATCGATCTACCTATCTATGGATCTACCCACCCACCTACCTACCTACCTACCTACCTTTCTTTCTGTCTGCCTCTCTGTATCCATCTATCTAGCTAGCTAACAACCACACCATGTACGCAGCCTGCCAAGCAGAACCAGCAGCAACAGCGGCAAAAGCATCCTTTACAGCCCTGGCCCGAGCCAACGAGCCTTGGTCTTGGCGGCACAGTCCTTCGACAACGCGGTTTAGGTGTCTCGGGTTCAATTGATTACGGAGTGAGGTAGTCCCAACTCAGACAGGTACTTCCAGTGGGGTCGGGGTGATGGCCTAGTAGCATGTCCTCTGGCCATCTTACCTCCTTTACATATTTGAGGCACGCTGTCTAGTTTACAAATCTTAAGGGCGAGAGGAATCTCACAGAACTCTGCGATGTAATCCAGACCCCTCTCATGCAAAAGCCAACATTCGTGTAGAAGGCTACAAGTCAAACGGCCTTCCCTCTATGTCCTCGACAGAGCAACAGAAGAATGCGAGAGACTACTGTCCACCGATACGCCCTGAAGTTCTGCACGGCGTAAACCCTGTTGACGCTCTCCAAGCCCTCTTAAAAAGTAAACCCCTAAGCCGCAGGGTTTAAGGGCTTAGGGTTTAGAGCTTAGGGTTGCGCATTTAAGGTCTCGGGTTTGGGGCTTAGTTAGGGTAGATCGCTCATGTGCCCCCCAGGGCTCGCCAACGGCCTTCCATCTCTGGTCACTACACAGCCACCCTACAGCATGTCCGAAATCCCAAGGCCCGTCGAGACGATGCAAATATCAAACTTGTAATCAAAACCCCGAACCCGAAATCTGGTGCTCGTTACAACAGGCCGAAGGAACAGACCTTAAGCTTGAGGTCAGTCCTGCTGAAAAATGTCCGATGGGCCCTAAAAAGGTTTATGGTTCATCTCCCAAGAAACCTAAACCCTAAACCCTAAACCCAAGGCTTGTAGTGTCCGATGAAGAGCCCCCCTATTGCTCAAGCTTCGTTTGGCTTACAGACCTTGGGATTCCTCAACATACCTATCCTGTAATCTATCCCCGAACCCTACTCTAATTGCTAAGGCCCATTTGTTAAACTCACCCTAAGGGTGAATACTAACCTACAAAACTACTATCCCAAACCCAAGTAAATAACTACTAGGTCCTTTGGACCCTTAAAGTCAGGGGCCTCAGGGTCTCGGACTCCAGCAAAACCAGAAATGAACATTCCAGAGGCTCCTCGTCAGTCTCGCCGTAGAGAGATCGACGCTCAGAGTGCCCCACAAGGACATACCTTTTCTGGGCTCCGCAGGTGCATGCGTGCGTTTGTGTGCACTTAGGCTTCGGATAGTAGTTATGTAGGTTACTACTTGAAAGAGTATATGATTATTAGGTACTTGGACCCTTAGGGTTAGGTCCGATGGGCTGGCAGTTTCTTACTGGGTTTGGGGCTGCAAGGCTTGTTGCGCGGACCCTGAAACCTAGAGGCTTGAGGGCCTGGGGTTGTTGCGTGCAGGCCCTAAACCCTAAACCCTAAACTTATGATCTTGGGCAAGCCTCCGCTGCCAAGCGACTTGAACTGCATGTAGAGACCTCCTAGACCCACCTGAACCCCAAATTATTAATGGAAGCCCTCTAACAGGGTTTAGGGCTTAGGATTTCTTGTAAGAGCCCTTTACAGGAACCCGTAGAAACTCGAGAAACCTACACCCTGAAGCCCAAAGCCTAAACCCTAAACCCCTTAACCCTTAACCCCAAAACCCCTAAACCCCTAAACCCTTTAAGCCCTAAACGCAAAACCCCCAAGCCCAAAAACCCGTATTTCCGGCGGCCAAAGCCACTTGATGCCAGCATCTGCCACCTGGCCGGCAGACACCTCGCCAGTGAAGGCTCCCTCGCCTCCAATGTAGAGGTTTAGGATTTAGGAGTTTGTGTTCCTTTAAAGGCATCTAAACGGGTTTGAGGCTTAGGATTCTGCCTTGAAAGGGATCTGTAGGGGTTTAGGGGTTTTGGGGTGTAGGGGTTTTGGGGCTTCAGGGCTTACGGGTTTTGGGGTTTGGGGCTTGGGGTTCTGGTGTCTTGGGGTTCAGGGCTTTAGGCTTCAGGGCTTTGGAGCTTTAGGGCTTCAGGGCTTGAGGGGTTAGGGCTTTGGGATCCCGGGTGCCAATAGAGGGTTTTAGACCCTAAACCCTAAACCCTAAACCCTAAACCCTAAACCCTAAACCCTAAACCCTAAACCCTAAACCCTAAAGCTTTAGGAATCGGAAGACGGACGAGCTGAGGAGCTTAGGTTTTGGATCGGGGTCTAGAGTCGAGGGGTCTGGGGTGCACAGCTTAGCTTGAAAGCTGTTCTGTGCTTGTTTCGTACGCCCTTTTCGCCGCTGGCTTTATATCCCTAAACCCTAAACCCTGAACCCAATATAGGCTTTAACGCTGCAACATGAGCTGGAAAGGCCAGAGGAAGGTGTCCTATGCTACGGGCCCCGAATCAGGCAATCAGGGACTTCATCCGATCATCGGGCATGAACACCTAATCGGGTTTAGGGTTTAGGGTTTAGGGGTTTAGGGTCTAGGGTTTAGGGTACTCCGTTATATTCATGAAAATATACCGCAAACCATACCAAGCACCATATTGGCAACTGTACGTTCCTGAATTACGGTGTGCATGCGGCTCTGGACTAGGAGCCCATGAACTCATGTAGTATATACTTAGAGTTTAAGGTTACGGTTTAGGGTTTAGGGTTTAGGGTTTAGGGTTTAGGGTTTAGGGTTTAGGGTTTAGGGTTTAGGGTTCAGAGCTTTTAGGCCACTTTGGGGCCAGGGTACACCCTACAATGGTACATGGACCCTTAGGTCACATACACGCACGGTATCGATGAGAATGCAGCGCGCCTGTCTTGCTGAAGTTTTGAATCCCCACGTTGATAACGGCATCGCCGGCCAGGCATTCCTCTGCAAACATACTCCATCACAGCAAAAGCCAATGCTACATACATATGTGTCCATATATATATATATATACACACATACATACATGCCCACCTACAATTAGTAGTGTTCTACTCATGCCTATATATGTCTGTAAAGGGCACCAACACCACGAATTGTAACAGCACGCATAACTCATGACAACTTTGAACACTCATGATGGTGCTAACTCTGCTATACGTCACAAGTCTAGATAACCAACCAGCTACCGCTGCATGCGACCTCCGGTGAATACCTAAACCCTAAACCCTAAACCCTAAACCCTAAACCTGAATACCGGTGACCCTAGACATGGCTGCTTGGACACTCTTTTGACATCGTCAGAACCGTTAGTAAGCTGGGACGCGTCAATCCATGTAGGGTTTCTAGGTGGTTACCGCGCAAGTCGAAGGAGCCTGCAAGTAAGCACCTGACACCTCTGACCCTAAACCCTAGTATTAAACCTACAGTCGCACAGGGAAACCGAAAATAAACTTCAGACCTTAAAAGCAAGTCAGCAAACTGGCACAGTAGCTCAGGCTGGTCGGACGGATCAGTGGAAGCCTTGAAATGCAGAAACCACCCATGCTTGTCCTTAAAGTTCCCTCATATACTTCTACTAAAGAAAGCCTCAAAACCTCAGTCCACTTCTTTTCGTCCCTATCCACTAAACTCGAAACCCTACATTAAGCCAGTAGCCCAGGAGGCTTCGAAAATTAGCTGTGTTGCTCCTGGATCCGCGATGCCGCTTGAGGGCAAGCTCTACCCTAAGGTTTTGTGTAGCATAGGGGCCATAAGTTCATAATACTTGTAGGATTTGAGATGTAGACTATGACTGAATACTGCAGCGGATATATGGGATATGGTATACTACAGAAAAACATATGAGTAACGTATGAGGAGCTCTAATGGGTGGGATACTGTTACCACTCATTCCGACTCTTCTATTTGGCTCTGCTTCCCATTTGTATCAGCCATCCATCCATCCATCCATCCATCCATCCCTTCCCTAAACCCTAAAGCCCTAAACCCCAAGCCCCACAAGCCCTAAACCCTAAACCCTGCACCCTAACCCCCGTACGCCCTAAACCCTAAACCCTACACCCCAAGCCCTAAACCCAAAACTCTAGACACTAAATTGCGTGAGCACAGATTGTCCCCGTCGGAGGTGTGACTGAAAGGACAACCCGAAACAAAACAACCTACACCCCTCTAGGACCTCCCAAGTGCCCGTTAATAGAGCCGGTACGGTCCTTAATCGTGGGCCTTTGGGGTGTATTAGAGGGTAGTCGGGGGGTGTAGGTCAACACGAAAACCGTAAATCCAGTGCAGTACCGCGCCTAAAGTTTGACATCAGCTGTAACACGAAAAATGTGTAAAGCCCTCACAACGATCCATAACCCAGAGGCTCCATATAGACTACCATTATGGAATTAAGTCCCCAAAGACCGTGCTTACAATGACTTTGGAGACCTAATTCCATAATGGTCGTATATATGGAGCCTCTGGGTAAGCCTGCTGAAACCCCTTTAACGAAAGGCCGCAACAAAAACAAGTCTTGAACCTCAACGACGACATGCACCCGAAGAGGGTTTCAGGTTCATATACCGTCTAGAGTTTTAACGAATAGTAGAAGGGTGCAGGGCCCGTGCCTTTACGAGCCAATCTGGTCCTTAAGGAACGCTAAATCGAGGATCCCTGCAAGGTGCATCACCCTGAAGTTGAAAACCTACAGCCTGGTAAAACCTCGTGGAAACCCTTAAAACCTGCAGGCCTACTCCCCTTCAACCCTACTCCCCTTAAACTCGACATCCCTAGCCTTACCTCTCACAGACACCGCTTATACAACCATTCTACACCTTTTTGACACCAACAGGAAACCTCGGAACCCTAAACCCTAAACCCTATACCCTAAACCCTAAACCCTGAATCCCTTGTTGAAACAGCCCGAGGCGCCTGTGCTGTTGGCACATGCAGGGTCGGCGCGAAAATCGCCACGTCGACGAACTTCGCGTCGGCGCCGGCGGCCTTGAATGCCTCACCGGGTCTTATGGCGCTTGAGATTTAGGTTTTTAGGGTCCGTTTGCGGATTGTTATGGCTTCACAGGACTGGAAAATGGTCTTAGGAAGTCTTTTAAAGATGCCTTACAGTGTTTGACGGGTCTTTACGACACGAGCTCAGGGCTTCCTGGTTACTGGCTTAAGGATTCCAGAGCTTTACGGCTCCAGGGATTTAAAACCCTAAACCCTAAACCCTAAACCCTAAACCCTAAACCCTAAACGGCTCAGGGGTTAGGGTTTAGGGCTAAACCCTTCAGCCCTTCAGCCCGGAGACCCAGAGCCCTGATTTGGTTTCAGGGTTTGGGGCTCTGCCTCTCGGCTTTGGGGCTGTAGGGCTTTGGGGTTTTGGGATTTAGGGCGAGGGATTCCTTAAGGATGACACGAACCCCAAAAGCGAGATACCTTTTAGGGCTTCTTGGTACAAGGGTATAGGACCCCCTGCGTTTAAGGGCCACGTTTAAGGGCCATTTGGTCCTTGAGGTCTGGTTCAAAAACGTCAGCCGCCCGCTTGAAGCCAAAGATCCTACTATAGGTGCCGGAAAAATTTGGGGTTTGGGACTTGGGGTCTAGGGTAGCTGCATATCTAATCTGTGTAAGGGATAATTCAGCTGCTTTATTTACCCCACAATCCTGTTACACTGATTAAAGCGGGACCCTAAACCCGAAACCCTAAACCCTAAACCCTAAACCCTAAGCCCTAAACCCTAAACCCTCGTCTATCCTTAGCTTTATCTTTGCATCCTGCAAAATCCCTAGTGAGTGCAGGGGTGGCTTGGCTCAGTTCTTGGAGTTGAGGTGGTGAAGGCTGAAGCCTCGTCGGGTTAGGGTTGAGGGTTTAGGGTTTAGGGTGTAGGGTTTAGGGTTTAGGGTTTAGGGTTGAGGCTTTAGGGTTTAGGGTTTAGGGTTTAGGGTTTAGGGTTTAGGGTTGAGGCTTGGGGTGCAGGGTGGAGCATCGGCTTAGGGTTGCAGGATTTGGGATCTATCGTCTCTCTAAAGTCGTCGATGGCAACGACCTAAGCCCTGAACCCTGCACATCATCATCTCGGGTCTCATACCCCCGAGGCCCAGAAACTACGACCGAAAGCTGGGAGCAGGGTATTTGGGAGTTTCCGAAAATAAGGGGTACCTTATTTTGGGGTCCTTATAATAAGGATCCTATTATTTAGGGTACTATATTAGGGTCCCCTATTTTCGGAAACCCCCATTTGGTTCTGGACGTCAGTTTCTTGTCCATGACTAGGGAGACGATATAGGGTTTCCGGTTTGAGGCGTTTTTTGGGGGGCGTTTGGTGTTGGGACCCGTTTAGGGTTTGGGATCTATGATCCCCAAGCCCTAAGCCCCGCACGCGAAACCCTCAACCACCAACCTTAAACGGATCCTTAATTTATCTTTTTTGGCTGTGAGGGACTCGGCTATTGAGACCAAGACACCGTGAGGAGCTCCTTCACCTGGCTCACCTGCGCTTCACGGATCAGGGCTTAGGGTTCAGTATCTATTATGGGTTTTAGGGAAAGCTTGATTAGGAGTTTAGGATTCTGGGTTCAGGGTTTATGGTTTATTGTTTATCGGGTCTAGGTCTGCAGGTGCCCGGGCCGTGCACTCGTGTCGCTGGTAAACCCGGCCACCAGTTCACCCCCCAACCCCGATGAAGTGTGGCTTTCTCACTCTGGAGGACTTGGGAGGATGCTTTACGCAGCGTGTTTCCGAACAAGCCTCCAGCGCGCGGGCAGAAAAAAGGCAACGCATACGCCTCATGTATGCGGCCGCTCTAGCGGGAAGCCCACCAAAGCTCAAATCGCTCCTTGTTGGAAGTCCCCTCAAGATCTTGGCTTCCGGTTTCGGAGCTGCCAACATGGGGGAGGAAGCACCAAAACTGTCGATTGTTCAACTGGGGGTGCCCGCAATCTCCATGTAGGGCTTCGCAGTTGGGTTACTTATGATCATAGCTACTTACATATAACCCCAACTAAGGTACTTAGAACCCTAATTACTATAGGTCCCATGATCCTCTAAGTAGGGGCCCAGGGCTTCGGGTCTAGGACCGGGACTGAGCCCTGGTGAACTCTTTATTGGAGAACCCTGACACCCTGAACTCTGAACCCCAAACCTTATAAGCCCTACAGGCCCTGTAAGGCCTGTAAGCCCTGTAAACGCTATAAGCCCTGAACCCTAAACCCTAAACCCCTAAACCGCCAAAACCCAAACCCTAAACCCTAAACCTAAACCCTATAAGCCCTATAAACCCTAAAGCCTTTCGAATCGAACCCCTTGCCCAGCGCTCTCAGAAAGAGATGCCGGGGGTGACCCCCAACCACCCCCGCAGGTTCCGACTTTGAAAGCTCGGGTTTTCAGGCATTTCAGGCAAATCTGTAGCTCGTTCAGATAGGCTCTCCAGAGTTGCTACTGTTGTAGTTGTCAGTACAATTCCTTATCAAGCATCAACATGCATCCTACTATCAATCCCCAAGCCCTAAACCCTAAACCCTAAACCCTAAACCCTATAGACTCTTATCATCGTCAGCTGGTCCCTTTTCAAGGATAAAAATGCATCCTACTTTCAAATCCTAAACCCTATAGACTCTTATCATCGTCAGCTGGTCCCTTTTCAAGGATAAAAATGCATCCTACTTTCAAACCCTAAACCCTATAGACTCTTATCATCGTCAGCTGGGCTGCCAGAGAAGCTGCCTCTGGCTGGAGGCTCACAAACCCCGAAACCCGAAGTCGCCAGCTTACCAGAGACTCCAATATCCCTTAATTAAGGAATATACCTTAAATCATATTCGGGATCCTACTATAATTTAAGGTATATATCTTAATTAAGGGATGGATCCTACTATAATTTAAGGTATATTCCTTAATTAAGGGGTATTGGAGTCTCTGGGTTGCCCCAAAGGCGGGCCTTGCCATTGCACTTCCAGTTGCCGCCCACGAACCTCGTGGTCTTCACATGGGGATCTCTGCGTTCTTGGTTAGGGTTCATGGTTTAGGGCTTATTTGGTTTAGGGATAGGGCTTCTTGGGGTTTAGGGTAAGGGCTTATGATTTAGTCTTTAGGGCTTATGGGGTTTAGGGCCTAGGGCTTAGGGGCTCTGCATAGTCGTTCTTATCATCCACACCACATCTTTACTCGAAGACCGCCGTGCCAAACCTACATCGCCATGGGGCCATGGGGACCTATACTATTTCGGAGACCACGTTCGAGACCCTGATCCGTCAAAGTACTACAGAGGCCTTAATAATCAGAACAGGTGACTGAGGTCTCGCACGCCTTGCTACCCGGAGCTGCTAAGCCCTAACTCCTAGGGCCTTGTCCCTGAGACCTAAGCCCCTAAGCCCTAATCCCTAGGGCTAATCCCTAAAGCCTCAGACTTGCTGTAGGCCCTATGTAGCATGCGAGCTTTCGGTCAAGCGGCGGCTTGCGCTTCATGCCAAAGGCCGGCGAGCCTCAACAGCGCTGGCAGCCAAGAAGTTTCACTTCCGGTTCGGGGTTTAGGGGTCTAAGTTTGCGGATTTTCGTCTAGGGTTCAGTCTGCTGGGGCTTGTCATACCTCACGTACCCCAAACCCCAACATCTTAGTCTAGAGTCTAGAGCGATTCCGACAAACATTACACACTCGAAACCAAGCTGTCGCCACGGTGCCGATGTTGCGGAAGCCCGTGCCCGCGTAGCTGCACCTGACTGCTACATCGAGCCCAAGGTGCGAGATCTCAAGCGGTGACGCCAGAGAGGACCAAGGTTTAGGGTTTAGAGTTTGGGGTTAGTTGTTAGGGTTTAGGGTTTAGGGTTTAGGGTTTAGGGTTTAGGGTTTAGGGCGGTTAAGAAACACACAGACTCCAATGTCCCCGCAACATGAAGTGCTTATTGGTATGCCTACAGTCCTTTGAGGTGTGCTTCTTCGGAAAATGCCGCTGGACTTGAAGTGAGGAGCCCCACCTAAGCCCTAGACCCTAAACTCTAAACTCCAAACCCTGAACACTACCCCTACGCCCCAAATCCCAAACCCTGACCCTTCTTGGGCTCAGGTGTTCGATTCTGTGCTCGAAGCTTCAGGGACAAGCCCTCCAGGTTTCAATATCCCTGAACGTCTATGTACCTGTACCATGAAAGGGGTGCCTATATCGGTTTAGGGTTTATATAGGGTTTTTGGGGTTGTTACATAGGTGCTTTAGGGCCAAAGTATATACTAGATGAGTATCAGGCACGGGAACATGAGCAGCATGATCATCGTGGCGCCTTATGAGCACAATCAGAGCTTCAGGAGCATGATGAACCCCTACTGCTAAGCCCCTCAATGCAAACCCCAAACCTTAAACCCTCAACCCTGAACCCTAAACCCTAACACTAAGCCCCTCAATGCAAACCCTAAACCCTAAACCCCAATTCCTAATCCCGAAAGCCCTAAAGCCTCAATAAACGAGGCCCAAAAGCCCCGGAACCCCGAAACCCCTCGTCCCCTGGGCCCCTACTGTAGGAGCCTTCATAATTAGAATAGGGTTTTGGGCTTAGCGTTTAGGGGTTTAGGGTTTAGGTCCCATTCTAGTATAGCTATAATAAGGCACCCCCAACATAATATAGGTAATTATAGGGTTTAGGCTTTAGGGTCTATTATAGTATAGCTATAAGAAGGAACCCCAAAATAATATAGGTAATTATTCCCATTATAGTATAGATATAAGAAGGAACCCTCAAAATAATATAGATAATTATTGAAGCCCCTATACCCTAAACCCTAAACCCGTTTTTTTTTTTTAGGGCCCTTTTTCGTCTGCTGGGTTTAGGGTTTAGGGTTTAGGGTTCCTATACTACTCGGCCTGTCTCCCAACTCCTCCTCGATGCGCAGGAGCTGGTTGTACTTTGCCAACCTCACGGTTTAGGGTCTAGGGTTTTGGGTTTGGGCTTTAGGGTTTGGGCTTTAGGGTTTAGGGTTTAGGGTTTAGGGCTTTTGTGTTTAGGTAGTAAACCTGACAATTACGAATTAGAGTCATAATACTGACGAGAGTTATAATAACAACAATAACAGTTTGGGTCAGTCAAGCCGCTTTAGGGGAGCTCCTATTCTACGGTATCTACTTGACTTCTGTTTGCAATAACTGGAGCTTTAGGGAACATGCGCTTCCTGCGGCCGGCTTAGCATCCAAAAACAATTTTGATAATGACAAGAACACTAGCAATAATGACAATAGCAATATTGATGACGATTCTTCTCCTTGTTGTTAGTATTAAGTACTTTGCCAACCTGACAGATAGGAAGGAGAAGCTCGAAGTTGGGGTTCTTTCAGTAAGGACCGCTCTGAGTGACAATAGCATCGCTTAAACCCCAAACTCGTAAAGTTGTAAAGCCTGAACCATGCATTTGCTTGGCGGGGCCTGTCCTGATTTTACTGGAGCTTGAATTTAGCCCTAAAGCACAACACCAACCATGCAACACCAAAAAGCCCTATTTTTCTAAAGACAGCACAGTCACCTACATACTTTTGCGGAAAGGAACCCGTAGACAGCTGTATTGAAACCTCATACCCCTCGACCTTAACTCCAAACCCTAAGCCCCAAACCCCGGACTGTGAAACCCTTAAGACTACACACCCTTAAACCCTAAACCCTTACTGTCTCTAAACCGTTTAGTACCCTTCTAGAGGAACCATAAAAGGAACGTAGAAGGAACCCGAAAAAGAACCCCTAAAAGGAACCAGGGGAACCCTAAGAGACGGTTGATGATATAAATCCTGCACTACCCATAAAAAAGAATACGGAATATGGCAGAACTCCGATAGTCTAGGGTCCTTAAGGGTAAGGCAGGATTTGTATCATCAAGAGGATGAACCCGTATCAGCAACATTTAAAGGAACCCGAAAAGGGAGAAACGAGGCCTCTCCGATCGGCACGGAGCTCCCGTCTTGATCTGCCCTGTGCGGAGGCCGACCACGAGGTCTGCGATGAAGGCGTCCTGAAAAAGAGGAAGGGGGGTTTAGGGGTCTAGAGGTTTAGGGGTTTGGGGTTGAGGGATTTAGAGTTTAGGGTATAGAGTTTAGGGTATAGGGTTTAGGGTTTAGGGGTTTAGGGGGTTTAGGGGTTTAGGGGTTTAGGGCTTAGGGGGACCGAGGAGGTCTGCAACCCTAAGGGTCGAAAGGACCCAATAGTTAGGTACTTGTGTTTACGATAGTAATTAAAGTAGTTATGTGGGTAGTTGTCAAAATTATGGTCCCTTTTGGGGTACCCTAAATAACAGGTGCCGTATTATAAGAAGGACCCAAAAAGGGACCCTAGTTTTGACAACCACCCATGTAGGTTAACGTTTGGGTAAGCATCTGACTATATTCATTGGACCCTTCGGGTAAGGGTGGCTTCAAAGGGTTCGACAATAAGAGTTTAGGGTTTATTCTTTCTGATATCGATAAAGGTTCCTTGAACGGTTTTATGCATAGGGGCGCTTTAACTTAAAGGGGTTCTATAACGAGTTCGAAAGGGGATACTATGATTGAAAGGGCTTACTTTAAGGTTATAGGGTTGAGGGTGTAGGTTTGGTCTAGGGTTTCTGTAAGCTTCGGTATAAGGCTTCCAAGAAGCTCTTCAAAGGGAATCTATCAGGGCCTTTTTCACCGGAAAGGGCTCCTTGAAGCCTTTTAGAAGGGCTGTCATAAGGCCAGAAAAAGCTGAATATAGGGGCCTTTTATTCATGAGAAGAGGGTTTTGGGAGCCATTATTCTATAGTTATAGTAAGGAACCGCCATAATACCAGTGGTAATTATTTAGGCCCCTACGTTATGAGAAGGATGCTTGAAAGGGTTCCAAAAGATGTACTATCAGGGTCGTTACCAGGGTCTCGCAAAGGGAAACCCAGGAGGAGAACATAAATAGTAGAGTGCGGTGTCGGGGTTTGAAGCCAAGCCAACCCTGAGCCCTAAAACCAGAAACCCTAAACCCCATAAACCCCCTTAAACCCTAAAACCAGAAACCCTAGGCCCTAAACCCAATAAGCCCCAAAGCCCTAAACCCTAAACAATGACCCCTCCCTCCATACTGCATAGCTACAATAGGCCTCCGTCTCGCCGGAGCGGTGAGAGACCATGACCTGAGTTCCAAGGTGTTTAGGGTTTAGAGCTTACTTGGAGGATCATGGGACTTAGTAAGTAGGGTTATAAGTACCTTAATTGGGGTTATAAGTAATTATAGGTATAGTTACCTTATTCATAACCCTAGTTACCAAGTCCCATGATCCTTTAAGTAGGGTTCAGCAGCCCTAAACCCTAAACCTAAACCCTAAACCCTAAACCCTAAACCCTAAAAGGGTTGAGGGGTTCAGGATTTGGGAGTCCGAGGCTCAGGGTGTGAGGTTTAGGGCTTAAGGTTTAGGGCTTAGGGTTCCGAACAGGAGGAAGACACCTGTGCCAGCCGCTTGAAAGGGTTCCATCGTTTTTTTTTTAGGGGTTTAGGGTTTTTAGGGTTTAGGGTTTTTGGGGTTTAGGGTTTAGGGTTTAGGGGTTTTGGGGTTTAGGGATTGAGGTTTAGGGATTTAGGTTTAGGGGTTTAGGGTTCTTTCCGGAATCGGGATCCCTTATCCTCTTCAGTGAGATTTCGCGACTTGCAGCGGGCAGACTTAAAAGGCTGACCGAAGGCTCCAAGCACGACCGAAGGCTCCAAGCACCAGCGGGCCGGAAGGCTTAGGGCCTTTTTAGGGGCTTCGGGTTTAGGACTAGGGCCTGCGAAGCTTTATATCCTAAGCCCAAACCCTAAACCCTAAACCCTAAACCCTAAACCCTAAACCCTAAACCCTAACCCAACACCCTGTACAT